TATTATTAACTAAACCTTGTATATTAGGGAAAAAAACAGAAAACTGGAGATTTTAATGCTACTAAAGTATTTTTGAACGTCACTGCTCCTTTGATAATACGAAGATATTACCTTTGAAACGGAAGTCTTAAACATCCATAAAGAACTCTTATTAAAATTTTGTTACTCAAAAAATGTTCCATCCTTAACACATGGTTAGACCATTTCCAGAAACACCGCAGACCATGACATAGCTCAGATATTGTAACAAAATGATTATTGGCACCAGAATCTCAGGTTTGGATTAGGTAGTTTGTGACAGATGATATAATATACAACTGCTACTTTGAATCTGACCACAGACTAAATGTAACTAAACGGGAAACACCAACCAACAAAATAGCTTGCTTCCGCCCACATGACGTACGAAAAAGACCTAGGTATAACAAGCACTTAAAATTAAAGAATTTGGTAAGAATTCGTAATAAACTAGAATCCAAATTGATGACAATAAGTACTGATCATAACATATTTATTTTTTTTTTTTTTTCTAGTTTATTTTTGGTTTTTTGGGGGAGGGGGTTGTAGTTTTTTAAGCGTTTCACCTCAAGCAAGCCCGGGAGCCACTAGCACGCAAGGGGTTACAGAGAGTTGGAGCGAGAGCAAAGGGGAGTGATAGAGGAAAGGATGAAGATAAGGATAGGGGATAGATCAAGGCATCTGGAGACGTCGATTGACATTACATTTGAATAGTTGGAGATTATAGCTATCAGGGAAACAGGAAAAGGGGGGGGAGTTCCACAGGCGAGAAGTGCGAGACATCAAACTATTGGAGTAGAAGAGACGGTTACATTTAGCAGTTTCGACAGTGAACGGATGAGAGCAAGAACGCTTAAATTCATGAAGTCTAGGAACCAGCGAAAGCAGCTCATCGGAGCATTTACCGTGAAAGTATTTGTAAAAAAGACAGAGGGAGGCCACAGCATGTCTGTGAGAGAGCGACTGCAGACGAGATACCAGATCAGGGCCAATTACATTCCATATCCGTTTCTGGATTTATATCAAGGACCTTGAGACAAACAGAAGAGGCTCCAGACCATATATGGCAGCAATACTCCATGCAAGGGCGAATGGTTGATTGATTTGTATTGGAATCAAATAATGTTTATCACATCTTCATTCGCTAAAGTATGCAACACCATTCCAAGAAGGAATACCTAGAAGGAAAAGGATACTCCCGTGAGACGCCAATCCTGAGTTTAAAAAAAAAATGATACAAGAAAGAAACAAGCAAAAGAATATGAAAAGTGGAATGGAAAATTATTTTTAAAAAATATTTAACGCTCTAAAAATTTAATAACTTCAAAAACTTAGAAACGAAATTAATGAATCCAAGTAACATAAACAATGTGTTGAAATGTGGAGAAAAGCAAAAAAGTCGCAATAACATCATACAATCAAAACCAACACAGAAAGAAATGTCCTGGTCTCCAAAAACAATTTGAATCACATTTCAACCCTGACAACACCAAAATAAAAAAAGATGTCAGCAGAAATAAAATAAAAAAAAAACAAACTAGTAATCTACATCCAATCATTACAAAGTCCGTTTCCAAACATAAAAATAATGAACCTAGTGACGAGGAAATTAAGAAATATCACTGCTGTGGCCTGGTATTGAACTCACAACTAGATCCAGTGACGAAATTCCATTCAGGTGAATGTAATTTCGTCACTGGATCTAACCAACGTTATAGACACTGGACCAGGGGCACAGATAAAGGCATTATTTAGATCCAGTAACTAAACACAAAGAGTTGTGAGTTCAATACCAGGCCACGGCAGTGGTGAACCAAAACTTGGAGAGTTGGGCTAAAGGAAAATAACAGATACATACGGAAGCGGCATGGCAAGTGGAACTAGATCAATCTACCCCGGTGGATGAAATAAATGGTATGGTTCGAAATTCCAATCACCTGAAGAAGGCCGAAACGTTGTGAATATGGCAAAGATGACGATAATAGTCCGAATAATCTAAATAAAAGTAAGGCCATGATTGTTGAACACAATATGTGAATTAAACTCACTACGTAGTATTGTGCAGTCAGCGACAATGCGTTCAGTAAGCCTAATCTGGAAAGGGGTTTCAAATGTAAGTCAGTCAGTGGTTTCAAACTCACTGCCCAATATCAATGATCGGCCGGACTAACTCGTGAACCATTACACCAGACGTTCCCCTAGCTTAATCTGCTACACAAATTTAGGGCACTCGGTGAGAACTGAAATCGTTGCACGGTAGTTATAACTTTTACTTTGACATGCCTTGAACCCGCCTAGGCGGGTTCGATGGCTATATTTTTCGCCGAGCCTACGAGCTCGGGAAACCCACATTAAACTCGGCCTTGTGCCACATTCAGTCCTCGTGGGGGGATAGCTAAATATTGTAGTTATAACTTTTATATGCTGAATCTGTGCTGGACGTCGTCGATCATGGCACTCCACAACTTTTTAGCTCTAAATAATGCGTTATGGTAATTTATCCACGCACGCATGGACTCTCGCAGTTATAAATAGGAGCAGGTACTGCCTTTTAGAGAGGAAAGTTTCCAGCAGTCAGCTCTGACAGTTGGACCGAATATTCTTTCTGCGACACTCTCGTTTGTATATGTTTGTATTACTGTTTCCGTTAATATATTTCTTTAACTCATTTCCTCTCTTGGTGTCTTTCTTTCTGGCCCTTAACAAGGCCACAATATAATGTGTACCCCTTTAGTATTCTTCCTAATACCTGTTCTTCCAACCATTTATACAAGTTCGCAAGGTAGGTTATTCTTCCCCTCCCCCCTCGTCCCTTTTTCTTCATTATGTGTCTCAGAATTTTCTGATTCTAAGTTATTTCAGCTCATTCCCTATCGAACACTGGGCTCCTTTTGACGTCGCATCTGAACAAAAGCTGACCAAGCAAATAGTAGGAGTTTCAGTGCGAATTCAAAAGGGGTTCTCAGTCTCATGTATGCACACTTTTAGGATAGTGCGATCCAGTTTTAATTCAGTGTTTCCTTCTCCTAGACTGGTTGCCAACCAAGGATATAGGACCCAGGTTGTCCCGCGATTTTACTCATAACTGGTGGGAAAAGATTCTTACCTTCCTAAGGGTATTAGGAAATAAGTGAATATAATGAACTCCATTAGAATTCGAACTAGGCCCTCAGATTCCTCGATCCGAGCCACTAACCATTACTCCACAGTGCCTCCCATTACTCAAACTTACGCTGCCATTACTCCACCGTTTCTCCAAACTGTCTTCTAAATACATAGATTTAATTTTTCTTAAAACTTCCTAGTTACTCACATGCTCTGTCCGTGATATTCTCAGTATTCTTCTAGAGAACGACATTTCTGTTGCCTCAAGTCTCCTCTTCACGTGTGAGGAAATTGTCCAGTATTCACTACCATATACGAGGATTGATATTACATGGCAGTTCAACACTCATTTCGTTGTTTCTAACAAAACGTTCCTGTTTGTCTATACTTTGTTTTGTCTTTGGGGAATATCATTCGCTATTCCAATGTGCCTTCGAATTTCAGTGTCACATTTTCCACCGTCTGTTAAATTTCTGTACTTGCTTGATTCTGGCATCTCCAATTCGAGTAGCGCATCTGAAGCTTTCCTACTTATTCACGACTAGAGATACTGTCTTCTTATAATCTATGGATTGTATTTTCTTCTCGCTTTACTTTACAAAAAGAAGAATTGTGATCTTTGATTTTTCTCGGTAGACAGACAGATCCCCACCTCTTCTCCCACTTGGCATTTTGTCTTTTACTAAAAATAGCATTCATGTTCGATCTATTTAACGTTTGTTTAATATTAATATGCATTTAATATTTTTTTAATCAAACGAGACGATAATGCCACAAGGACGCACAGGGTTATATGGATTAAAAGAAACAAAAAAGAGCAATAAGGGGTGGGGGAAGAATTCAGGAAGACAAAAAGATGGCGATTGATGTTGCATTTTAATTTTTGTAGATTGTAGTTATCAGGGAAGCAAGAAATTGGAAGAAAGTTCCACAGGCAAGAAGTGCAATAAAAAAACATTATTATAATAGAAGAAACGGTTGCATTTAGCTAGTTCAGCAGTAAAAAAAAATAAAGTGGGACCTAATTTCCGCTTGAATTCATGCAGTCGAAGTACAAAGGAGGAAAACTCATCAGATCACTTACCATGAAAATATCTGTAGAAAAGACAGAGGGAAGCCACGTCACGGGGGTGAGAAAGTGATTTAAGTCGAGATGCCAGTTTAGGATCGATTACATTACCGATTCTTCTTTGGAATTTGTCAAGATATATTATAGGAGCATCAATATTTCTCATATTTATTTAATATTAATATTAATATTTATTTAATATTAATATATTTACTTTAATGCTTAATGAAATATTTAATATAAAATTCTTAATTAATATTAATATAAAATTCTCAGAAACTAAAGAAAAAAAGACGTGGATTTGCGACAGTCATGACAGCCAGAGTCTTACTTTATAATAAACATGGTTCGGATCGAGATGGATGTTAAGAGTTGCACTTTTAAATCTCAGAGAGAAGCGACGTCACCGCAATGTAAAATATTGGAAGTAATATGTCTGATTTTATTTAATAATAATTATAATTATAATAGTTGTCTGATCATTATTATTTAATAAACTAATCATCATCATCTTTATGATAGACAAAGCTTTAGCATCAACAACATTTTAGCAATAAAATACAGTATCAACATCATGTCAATAATCAAAACAAACTTCACTAGCATCATCATCATCAAAAAGATATCTTATCAATATCAGTGCAATCATCGCGTTTTAATTATCATTGTCATGATTATAGCACCTGGTATAGTGTGGGGATTGACATTCATAAGCAACATTAGAATAGACTACCTAATGATAATGATGATGAGGGTGATCATCATCATCAACTTGATCAAGAGAGAGAGAGAGAGACTGCTTGGGAGCATACGGCCATATCATGTCCAAACACCGGTTCCCGTACGATAACCGAAGTTAGACAACGTCGAGCCTGGTCATTACCTAGATGGGTAACTGCTTGGATATACCGGGTGCTGTAAGCTTGGATATGAAAGTTGGTAAAATCTGTTCTGGGAAATAGATATAAATTTCTATATATGAAAACAGTGCTGGGTTATTGATTGACAAAGTGGAAAATAAGTCTATGTAACGCGTTTCGTTTTCTAAAAGGCCTTCCTCAGATTATGGCCATGTTCTTATTTATGGAATTCTGTCAATGTTAGAATACTTCGGAGAAATATGAACGTAATCGTCGGTAATAATTATGCGTCGAGGTAAGAAGCTGGAGATGTAGGGATGTTAGAAGGTTTCTCTATGTTTCTCATTAGTCCTGGGTATTGCATTAAACTACATCCGGCAGCAAAGCCTCCGATCAGCAGATTGGAGGTTTTCAGGAACGAGGAACCACCCCTTACTTCTTGTTGTTCACGACTACCCGGGTGGTAGCACCTGTAAGGGCCCCAGCTACGGGCAAATAATGAATCCCAAACAAAAATCAAAACCCTAGGAAAGAATAAAAAATATTTTTCAGTAAAAATAAAAAATATTTTTCAGTAAAAATACTAGTTTATCTTTTATAGTTAAATCACCAGAATTACTTTTTTTATAGCAAAATAGCAATACGCAATTAATACTAATATTACACTAAAAATGTATAAAAATACATTTTATAGTAAAATTACCAGCAATAGATTTTTATAAAAGATTACCAACAATACATTTTGTCATCTGCAAACTATATCTCTAAAATATACCATTTACCCTGAAATTATGTACAAAATACCTGTAGCTGAATGCATAAAATTGCTTTCAAAATAAAGGGATTATATATAAGGGTGTTTCATTAAGACGGATCAAAGTCAGTAGTAATGACAATTATGTGTTAACAATAATATCATCCGCCAAATCTGAAAGAAGAAGAAAACAATCATCAAACGGTTAAACTTAATTCACATTTAAAATCGATCCAAGTTTTTAAACATCCTTTATTTAGATGTTGGTATTAAATAGCACACAAAGGTTGATATGTCACTAAACAAAATCAACCACCCAATATATATATATATATAGTGTATTGGGGCAGCAGATCATTATTTAAACATATATTGTTAAATATAACAGAAAACGAATTTCTATTATGTTTGATCATGAGCCGTTCTAAGCTTTGTATAGTGGCTTTAGTTTCGGGAAAAAAAACAAAGGCAAAAACTGTCCAATACTTGGATATTTTTTATAATGTTGTTCCTCGATCTAAGCTTTCGGCTCATGTGAACCATCATCAGTGTAGTTATATGGACATTTCTATAACCACTATATATATGTAATGTATGAAATTACACACACATATATATACATACATATATATATATATATATATATATATATATATATATATATATATATATATATATACATACATACATACATACATATATATATATATATATATATATATATATATATACATATATATATATATATAATTTCATCAATAAGAGCATGAGGTTATTATGATGAAGTCCTTTTACAGGATGAAACATGTTACATAGACTTTTTGTTCCCATTTTGTTATTCAATTATCTGTTATATATTCAACTGTAGCAAAAAAAAATATATTGCCACTAGAATTTTTATCATTAATTCTCGAAGCCTTATCTTCTTTCTCTGCCCAGGCTTCAGCTTCCACTCTCGCTTGTTTGTGGATCTAGCCCCCTTGCTGCAACTACACGATTAGTCTCGCCACTGCTACAAATTCTTGGGCCCCGGCAACGTCGACGGATCCGTACAGCATAAACGAGATCGATCGTTCGTGAAAGACGATGGAAGCGATTCAAGAAAGAGTCGGCAAAATTAGCCACATCAGTAGAAGCGTCATAGACGGTAATCGTTCTGAACTGAATGAGACCACCACCACCATCAGCACCAGAACCACGAGCACCACTATCATCATCATCATCACCGTCAGCGGCGACACAGTCGTTACTAAGATTAAAGGCGGATTCTTTTGACGTTATCATGACCATAACCAACCTCTGAAAACCGTTCATCATCAGTAGATGCTAAAAGCTAACTATAGACACTATTGGCATCAAAACTATAGACGCCATCGTAAACAAATTCATCATCATTATCATCTACTAGAAATTCTAAGCAGAAGCCTTTTTCTAATTATTAAAAAATCTTAATTTGCTTTAACAATAAATAAAACCCCACCATTTCTACAATCATTTCATAACAAAAACCTCTTAAGCCATTGTCATATTATTAAACAGAGACCAATCATCATCATTATCATCATCTTAATAATAAAGATTTTTTTAAGAAGGGAAGCAGAAATATGATAATAAGAAAGAAACTAAGATATATAAGAAGAAAAACAAGAAAACGAAAAAGAAGAAAATTATGAGAAATAAGAAGAAAAAAAGAAGAAAGAGATAAATAGAAAATAAGAAAGAGTAAGAAAAAACATGCCTTCTTATAAATATAGCAGCTCCAGCCGACAAAAACACATCTTTAAGAAATTAGTCAAATACAAGAGAAATCAAGAAACATTATCTGTTGTTTGTGGGCCTCTAGAAATGATATCAAATGGAGCAAACAAATATATGAATCAAATTCCCCGTAGCCCTAAAATAAGTGAATTGCGAAAAAAAAGTCGTACACATGTGTACTTCGCACTTTGAATCTTCTGATGCAAAAACCTGTTATCTCTTGAATTCTCTGCTTGAAACTTGAGAGCAACTCGTCCTACACAAAGTAAAGGCTTAACATAATAATAATAATTATCTCCGAATCACCCACCACTCACTATTTCATGGGCAGGACGAGCTCACGGGTTTTGGTCGATTGTCGTCCTAGAACAAAATTACTCCTTGGCGGTCAAGGATAAAACGCAAAAAAAAAAACTCAATAATTACCAACAAATTTTCATACCGGAACGCCCGTCACTGGGGTCAAGAAAGGACACGTATCTCAAAGAGGAACCAGCCTGGTCCGAAAAATCTGCCACTGGAACAAACTCTTCCAAAAACGAAGAGACTCTAGGTCACCAAGCCCGGACTATTGCCAACCCAAGTGACTCAATGCCAAATTAACTAATGAAAAGAAAACGAACGAAATAGTCTCGCCAAAAGTATCAATAAGTCATGACATCATTTTTCATCACACTCGAAAATCCAAAAAAGAACACCACGAACCAGACATACCAAATATGGCGAACTATGGTAGGAAGGGAAATAAGAGCTCATCTCAACCCAAACATGCTTGCTAATGTCCGCAGGAACATCGTGCGAAACTCAAATGCAGAAATAGATAAGATAAAATTAGATATAAGGCAGAATACAATAACCCATGACTCAAACAGTAAAAAGCTGAGTGTAGAAATAAATAATATGTCAGAGGATGAGTTAAAAACTAAAATAAATGAGATACGAAATAATCTCCCAGGAAGTAAAACCGAAGAATCTACCTGTGACACAACCTGTAGTTATCCAGACGATGTCACTGAAGATGAATCCAACTACATTAAGGTAGAATTCCTTGAAAACCACAGAGGTGAAATCACCGAAACGAAAAACCACGTCATCAAATTAACTCTCACACAAATGTCAGTCAGAGATCAGCTTCGAAAAATTCATGTAATAAAGTCCAGTCAGCACATTGTGCAAATATACAACGATGCACAGGAAACACTGTTAATGGACAAACCACTGGAAAACATCACAGACGTTAACAATGTCATATACGCAACAGCTTTAGCAGCTCCTGGGAAGCTTGAGGTAAAGACAATGAAAAGATTAAACAACAGACCAAGAGAGTCAGTTTGGAAGGCAAAACTGATGCAAGAAATAAAGGAAATCAGTTGTGAGATTTCTATATTAGATGAGCTCACTAGAAACCCAAATGTTTCAACACGCATGTGCAAGAAGATCAAGCGGAAATATAAAATTAAATCATTAAATGTAACAGACAGAAACTGCAGTTAAAGTAACTAAAAACAAGACGATGTGATAAACGTTGTAGGTTCTATCGCCAAAATAAATTATTCCAAACGGACCATAAGAAATTTTACAGGGAAATTGGAAAAGCCACCATCTATTAACAAGGTGCAGAAATTTTGGGAGAATATTTAGAGCAGCCCAAAGGAATATTGCCACAATGCAGAATGGATTCAGTGGGAAGAAGAACGAATGCTGGATAAACCTCTGCAAAAGTTGGAAAATATAACCACGAATAATGTTAGGCAAGATCTAACGAAATCCCAAAACCCCCGGAAAATGGCAAGGTGCCCAATTTTTATCTCTATTATCTGTCATCAATCCATAAAACCCTTGCACACACTCTATCAATGCTTATAAATAATCCCAATGAAACCCTGGAATGGACCACTGAAAATATTACATCTCTGTCCATCACGTATAAATTGATCACGTCTCTCCTGACGAACCGTACTTACTCTTTTATCGAAGCAAACATTCTTCCACTGGAACAGAAAGGATGCAGGAGAGATTCATATGGTTGCAAAGATCAACTACCGATAAACAAAATGATCCTGGAAAATTCAGCACATCGTGGATTGATTATCGTAAAGCCTTTGATAGTGTGTCACACACTTGGATCCTCAAGACTTTAGAAATGTACAAAATCTTCCTCGTGATAGTAAATTTCCTTAAACACAGCATGGGAATGTGGAAAACCACATTATACCTCAATCACACCAGAGGCACTGACCTCTCCAACCGCCTGAATATCCAACGAGGAATTTTTCAAGGAGACTCCTCCCTGTCACCTATTCTGTTTTGTCTGTCCTTAATACCCTTTATGCATGATAACAATAGCAACAATAGGTATGGTTAAAAAATAAACAAGAAAGTATTCAATCACCTACTCTTCAAGGATGATCTCAAACTCTTTGCTAAAGACGACAATGAGTTAAATGGTCTCTTCAATTCTGTAAAATGTTTCAGTGGCGAGATAGGTATGGACTTAGATAAATGTGCAAAAGTAACATTCAAGAAAGGGAGAATTACAGAAACACATTC